GTATATATATAACACACCAGTGATCTTAGTTACCATGACTGATATTATATATATAACAAACCAGTGATCTTGGTTACCATGACTGATCTTATATATATATAACACCAGTGGTCTTGATTACAATGACTGATCTTCTATATATAACACACCAGTGGTCTTGATTACCGTGACTGATCTTATATATATAACACACCAGTGATCTTGGTTACAATGACTGATCTTATATATATAATACACAAGTGATTTTAGTTACCATGACTGATCGTATATCTATATATATATATTACACTAGTGATTTTAGTTACCACTACTGATCATATATATATAACATATATATATAAGTTAGAATATAGTATATATATAAGTTAGAATAATATCACATATTGTAAGCAGTTATAATTCTACTGTATTATCATGTTTTGATCGAGTAAGTAGTTATAATTATGCTACATCACATTGTTTAGATATTTTCATGCTTCATTATTCCCTACCCATTATTGAAGCTCTTTAGTTGAGTTACAAGTCTTGTAAAATATTTTTCCAGCTAAATCTATCTAAAGAAGGCTTAGAAGCTATGGGGGAAGAAGATCCAGCAGTTTTTCTTACCTGGGCTTTTTATGAGTTTGAACTTCAGTCGACCCCGGTTATAAAGGGACCTCAGTAAGTAAATTGAATGTCATTTAATATAAGTTTATTTCTATTTATATCTCTTTGAGCTACTAATATATTTAACATGTAACTTTCATGAAAATATTTTTTATTTTTCAAAAATCAACTCATATTTTAAACATTCTGAACAATGTGTTTACACTAGAACTAGAACATCAGTTATAAGTTCATACATTTCTGTATGAGAGTTTCTTTGTGTTTACACTAGAACTAGAACATCAGTTATAAGTTCATACATCTCTGTATGAGAGTTTATTTATGTGTTTACACTAGAACTAGAACATTAGTTATAAGTTCAACCACATTTCACAGTAAATTCTGTGCCATGTGTTATATTAATAATGTTTTATTATGTTAGACAGGAGTTAAACCACCCTTCACAGTACATTCTGTTGTCATGTGTTATATTAATAATGTTTATTATGTTAGACAGGAGTT